ATTTCTTTTATGTCAAATCATTAAAAAAATCTGCTAAACTGAATCACGCAGTTTCGGTGGAGTTCAATAACAAACACTGTGATACGAGATTTTTCTAAATATTTCCATAATATAAAAATGAATCGTAAAATCTGTTGGTAAGCGCATAACTCAACAACGCCTCGACCAATTTGACCAATTCTTTTTTTTAAATGTTCGTTATAGTCCAAGGATGGTTTTTACGGCGAGAAAATTTTGAATAATTGCCGGGAAAACCCTAAAGACAGCCCTTTAATATAGGATAAAAGTTGGCATTGAGATTCAATCATGGTTATAGTTAAATAGTTGAATCCGAGATGACGCGCTGAAGTGCATTATTCGCAATTCTTTATATAATTAATTTCTTTAAAATAAAATTGCGATTCTTATTTATAGAATTGACACATACTTGTCTAAGACAAGAAAGTAAAAACAAATTGCATATTTATTAAATTATATTAATCTTACTTAACCTAACTTAACATAACCTAACATATTCTATTCTAAATATGTACAATTAATTTTGTTGATATTATGCTATATCTCAAACAGATTCAAAAATGAATGCAAACTGCATTAGATTTGTTAAATTTCCTCGTGCGTTTTCGATTATTTAATTAAACGGTGTAATTCATGCAGGCGGCATGAAGTAAGGCTGGAGTAATTAACTAAATAATTAATCGCACGCCGCGCGCGTATACTTAAATGCGAAGCCGATATGCTCAAACAGTAATCAATTATTCACGAAGAAGCTGCTTTACTTGGTTTACATTAATTAAATGAATTACGCGCATACTTCGCATCGCATCTTAGGCGCGCGCTTAGCAAAGGTAGCTCTGGTGGTGGCATAATGTTGCTGTTTGTCGAACACCAAAGTGTTTACTTATTAATTGCCCCTCTCAGCTCGACTGCGCGCCGGGCACGAATTTGTCTATCGATAAATATATCCGTGTGCAAATTTGCGTAAGCGATACCTGCATAATTCACTAATGTAATCAGATCAAATTGAATGAAGGCAGTCAAAGTAAACGAAATTACACTTGGAACTTGAAAGCTCCAAGTGTGTAACTAGTCATGTTATTATTTGTAGGTTTTAGGTTAGGTTAGAAATTCATTTTCAATGGATTATTCATGAAAATCATAGGTTTAAGATATTTACTAGGTTGGAAATGAAATAATTAAGATTAGTAATATTTTTTGAATTCTTATATATCTTCTATGATATAAAACTGAATTGCAAAATCTGTTGGAATGCGCGTAACTCAACAACGCCTAGAACAATTTAGTCAATTCTTTTTTGAAATGTTTATTATAGTCCATGGATAGTTTTTACGGCGAGAAAAACTCGAATAATTGCCGGGAAAACTCTAAAGACAGCCCTTTTCTATAGGATAAAAGTTGGCATTGAGATTCAATCATAGTTATAGTTAAATAGTTGAATCCAAGATGGCGCGCTGAAGTGCATTATTAGCAATTCTTTATAATATACTAGTTAACCGGTCAAACGTTGTTTTGCCATATATATTATTTCTAGTTTCTAGATAAATTTTAGTGTAGACAAAAAGTAACTTACTTATTATAAAAAATAGAGGTTGGTGATAAGAAACCAAAAATTTAGGGTTGTATGTATATTTTAATGCCACATTAAAAAAATAAAAACAAAAAATTTCTACCAAAATTTAAAAAAAATTAAGGGTGAACAACCCTTATCACTTAGAGATATGAAGTTACCGATTCTCAGACCTACTGAATACGCATATAAAAATTTTCATTGAGCGGGATGAAAAATGATTAAATTACTAAAATGGCTATAAAGAAATAGGGGTTGGTGATAAAAAACTAAAAATTTAGGGTTGTATGTATTTTTTAATTCCAAATTATAAAAAAAATAAAAACAAAAGAATTTGTTCAAAAATTTAAAAAAAGTTAAGGGTGAACAACCCTTATCACTTAGGGGTATGAAAAATAGATGTTAGCCGATTCTCAGACCTACTGAATACGCATATAAAATTTGGTAAAAATCGGTAAAGCCGTTTCGGAGGAGTATGGAAACAAACACTGTGACACGCAAATTTTATATATATAAGATAATTAATTTCTTTAAAATAAAATTGCGAATCTTATTAATAAAATTAACACATATTATGTTTAGAGTAAGAGACTAAAAACGAATTACATTTTTATCAAACACTACCGGGACGAAGTCGCGGGCAAAAGCTAGTTAATCATAAAACACATTTTTTCTTTCTCATTATTGTTTATTAAATATTATTAATTGTTTTTATTAAATATGCCATTGGAAAACGTTAACATAACCTCAAAATTTTTCAAAATTTTGAGGAAAAGCAATTTGTTTTTACTTTTCAATTCAAAAACAACCAAATTGACATAAAAATGCATAACCAATGCCAAAATTTATGATTTTCATGCTAATAACATTCTGTTACTAGTCTTATTCAGTGTTTTTGCACATAATTGTATATAATGATCACAAATGTTCTCCCAAACACTGAATACAACCAACACCTCATCCTAATTTTAGTTCAGTCAATATAATCCCATTTGAACCTGCTAATAACGATGGCATTATTACAGTAGCACCCCTCTAGATTCCCCAACCCTCTTCATTCCCTCAGAACCTTAGATCCCGGTGATAGTCACCACAGATCACGACTAATAATGTGTCATTACTTGTAGATTTTTCCTTGGCTAATGCTTTTAGTCTCCGGATTAATTTTTCTTTTATCTTGGGGAAACAAATTTCAAAATAAATAAGTAATAAATAAATAAATAATAATTTTAACATTACCAGGCTGTAATACCCGTTAATAAATCCAATAAAATGACGAATTGAATACGTAATGATTACCCATATAATGTTATATCAATTTATCAATCTCTAAGTTGTTTCAAACCAGTACAATTGGAATAAATTTTATTAATCAATTGAATGCGTGCCTGAATGCCAAACAAATGTGAAACTAGTTGGCTGGTATCGTCATTTGATTAAGTTTTCATTTTATGTAAATACAGACATGTGTATTTTGTTAATGCGTGTCACATGGTGTTGTAATGTAGTAATCGGGTTAATAAAAAAATTGTAGCCGAGGCTAACGCGTAAATTGGACATTGGACATTACTATGACGAATTTAATTCATTTTAGTGTCGGATATTAATTGTCCTGTTGTGTTATAGTGGTTTTAACTTTACTTGTAATTATATTTACGATGGTAGGTAATACGTATTGCTTACAATACCAACATAACCTAAAAATTTGATATTTTAACCTATTTTACGACTGTATCTTGGGGTATAAATAGAACCCTTATTGAAATATGATATTTGTGAGTATAATAACATAAATTACAATTAGATTTATTGCTTTTTGGTTATTTTGTTAGGTTTTCTTTACGTGATTTAGGTTTTTAACCATATTCATCTTTTTTTTTTTCTTTTTTTTTTTGAGTAAAGTCAATCAAAACTATTTTAAACTTTGAATTAAATAATTAAATAAGTTAGGTAAGGTTAGGTTAGTCATATTATTATTTGTTGGTTATGTTTATAGTTAAAAAATGTATTTTGTGCCTAAAATCACAAAATTTATGTAAATCTTGATTTAAAACACATTTTACCACTAATATTGCATTTTATTGGTTAAAACAGCAACATAACCTATAAATTTAATATTCATAACCTATTTTATGACTGTATCTTGCAATAAAAAATTTCCCCTTATTGAAATATGATATTTGTGAGAATAATACTAAAAATTTAATAGAAATTACTTTAAATTACAACTTGATTTATTACTTTGAAATTTTTTTTTGTGTCTAATTCTACGTGATGTCGTGATTTTGGTTCGTAACTGTTTGAAAACATTGATTGAACATCTGCACACATAACATGTGGTTAACCATTTAAAAATACTTCGGGGCATTGTCGGGCCATTAGCTGGAGACTAAGTTGTTTGTTACAAAATGTTGCACGACGCTGATCGCATCGGCAAATAAAGAGTTGGGGTGAAAGTGAAACGTGGATGATAAAAAGCCAGCAGGGGAGAGCGGCTCTACGCCTTGTATAATTCATGCGTTTTTCGAGCAGCGCCCTTTTGAATGCTTTTTAATCCTCGCTGTGCCACAATACTCTTTGACGAGCCCAGAACGCCTTTGTTTCTATTAGAATGATTAAATATTTACGCACTTACCAACAACATCGTTATGTTTTGTAAATATTTGCTAAAGAAACCTAACCTTAAACGAAATTAAGGAGTAATATAGAAGGAAATTATTTGTGTAGAAAAAATTTTTATTAAAAATTTTAAGTATAAATGTATTAAATTTTGACATTTTTTAACAATTTTTTTTGTATTGACCTTGTATATGTCAAATCCATCAATAATATTCGTAATTTTATTTTAAAATAAAAGAGAAATGCTTGTAATGTAATATATCGCCATCTGTGGTTGAATTATTCAACTATAACTATGAATAAATCTCTTTATAAACTTTCATCTTTAATTTAACCCACTTTGAACCACAATTTTCAATATTTTAATAGTTATTCTCTTATTCCCATCGAAGACGAATCCAACAAATCATAGATAATAAAAATCCGTTTAGCGGTTCATGAGTTATACATGGTGTAACTAACACAACTTTCTTATACCAATATAAATAATATATTTGGCGTTGATTGAAATCCAAATCGTAATTTCAATTGCACTGCCAACTCCTCTCAATTAATGTGAGTTCTATCAATGACTCCACTGGGGGTCGAACATGAATGCAAACGTACACAACTAATTGGGAACTTTTCGCACCGCGCGACGCAATCACAATCACAATCGACGGCAACACTACCACCCCACGAGCGAATTATGTGCCTCGACAAACATCTGTGTATTAATGTGTATGTGTGTGCGAGTGTGTCACGGATGTTTGTGTAGCAAATTGCCCGGATAACAATCGCAATTCGATTCCAGAAGCAATCCATCGAATCCATCCATTTTCAACATGATGATACACATGTTTGGCACATAATGAGATAATCGCATCCAAAGCGAATTACGTGCCTTCCAATGCTGGAAATTGACTACGCTAAGAAGTACTGTTTCCGGTTTGCAGAGCTAGAGTAATACTGAAATTATTCTTTTGTTCACAGGACTATTAGTGTTTGTGTTATGTATTTGTAAGTGGAATGTTGTAAACGTATGGGAGGAGAACGGAATCACGAAAACGGAAGCCAATGCAATAAAAGCCAAAGCGGCGGTGCCAGAATCGTGAAAACTGAAAGTCTGGCAATAAGGAAGCGAAGGAGTGGAACTAATGGTCGTTGCCCCGGGAATACTATTCTTTCTCAACATTTGAAGTGTATAGTGAATAATAAAATACCTAGGTACTTATTGTTTATGGGTCATTTCTATATTGATCAATTTCATAAGTCTTTCTTGGTCTTTTTTAAATAACTTGAAAGATCTAAGTGTAAAACAAGTCATATTATGATTTATAAGTTATGTTAGTAAATCATAACCTCATATACCTCATAGGCATGTTAAAACATATTTAGGGAAATAGTAGTTTTAAACTATTTCTTTTATTTTTTTTATGTTTTACTATTATTAGTGATTAATCCATGAAAAAATAAGGTTAGGATTAAAATTAGATCAGAATGTGTAAGTATAACCTCAAAAAACATTAAAATATAAAAAATAACAAAGAAAAAATCATTTTTTGTGTTTTGGGTCTAAAATTACAAAATTTATGTAAATATTGGTTTATAATAGACAAATTTATATCTCACGTGATAAAAATAGGTTATTTATAACATATTTTTAATGGTTTATCACTAAATATCTACAAAATGTTCCTATTTATATAAGAAAAAAGGAATAATTAATTTAGAAATGCGTTTTATCTTATTATTATTCAGTAATAAATACTACTACACAATAAAAATACCTAAAATACCCAAATACTTACTTTTTACCGGTTATTTATTTCAATATTGATCAGTTTCTTGATTTTTTCTCTTTTAACGATTTTTGTGTGATAATGCCAGTTGCGTGGTTAGAAATATAGGAAAAACTAAAATCAGTAGACGGCGGAAATGTCGTTTGAGCAGTTACCACACCATTTAACTAACACTTTCCGGTTTCGGCGCTTCCGCATTCTGAAAGGAGGAAGACAACCGTGCCACGCGATTTTCGCCGCACTTGTTTTATACGTTCATGGCCGTTCGGTTTCTACTCCTCGCAGGAGGGAGCAGGCCATTAATTCAACTAGATCGAGACGTTTCTTTTTCGGATTCTTTCTTTTTGTTTGCTCTGGCAAGTAAGTATCTAAGATTTTGGAAGTAGTTCCAAGTGAATAATGTATTTAATGGTTTAGATCTTTAGCTAATTTATTTTTTTCTTACTCATAATCAATAGAAATAAGTTTTTGTTAAGAAATATCTAATTTTTAAGTTAAAATTTGAATATTTACATGTTGTAACCTTCAATTTTGACATTTTGACATCTGACAGTTTACTCTAACCTTAAAACTTACTTGTCACTCAACATTCACAGGTAAACTCTTCTCTGTTACGTTATTATGCTGTAAACCACAATTAGATGATCCTAATGTAATTAAAACACTCACATTTTCATGTTCTAGTTGTTCGTACCACCAAATTATAATAATAGCTGCAGATGCGCCCGTATTCAATTAGGTGGCGTACATGGTCGGCCTAAATTAAGAGCGCGCGTTGACGTCGCTTTAGTGAAACGCATTCAGTTTCTCGAGATAATCGCATTACGTAGCCATGGGATGAAAGCAGGAGAAACAAGCGGTGAAAAGGTGTCGCTGGAAGAGAAGGGCTTCAGCGGCAAGTCTACGCGGCGTGTTCCTGACCAACCGTAAGTGCTCGCCGCTCGTTTTAACATGCTAAACTAACTGGATTTCGTTCGATGCAAACGCAATTTGCACAAATTCGCATCTACGCCGTTACTGGAACAAGAAGCCGTGATCTGCAAGTGTGTAGATTAAATTTCTTTTCATTTCACCATCAACACAATTAAAAATTTTGACATGTTCTTTTTTAGTGTATAACTGGTTGCCTATTATACACATCATCACATACAATTGCAAAACTTTTGATATAAACTCGACTGAATAAATTTCACGAACACACACAGTATACTGATGTTCGTCTCCGAAGAGACAATAGAAACAAATTGATAGCCACGCTTCTAAAGTAACACGCATATACGAAGCTAATGGGTTAATAGATTTAATTAATACAGCATTGAACCATCATATTAATGCACGTTACATCAACTTACGCGAGCGTAATAGATGCATCATTCGGAATGTTCAATTTATTTTCCGTATGCCGGCGAGCTTATTAAAATTAACCCATTTATTTATTTATTAAGTGACATTAACGGCCTCTCCACACTTGCTTATTAAATGTCACAATGGTGAACGTACGCCGCGTATTTAATAACTGCTGATCGCATCATGTAAAAATAAAACACAATTCATTTGAAATTCACTTTTTTATTGCCTTAATTCACTTCGAACGCGTCCGTCTACATTTTTTTGGTAAAATTTTGATTTCATGCTGCAAAACATGCGTTTATCATTTATATTTAAGTAATACTGAATTATTATAGTTAATCAACTAATGTATGTATCTAATTATACATATTGCACTTTGTTTTGACGAATTATAACTATATACTTAAAACTATTCTTTGGTATTGCATTTGTTCTTCTAGAGACTATAGGCTACTTAATGTACTCAACGTTTTATTGTTCTTTAGTTACGGGTTCTTCCGCAGGGGGCGCTGTACGATTGACCTCGCTGAGTGAGTGATGCAGATTCAACGGCGGCAGAAGCGGAAAGTTGAAGCCAGCAGCGGCGAGTGAATTAAGATGACCGGTGGCGGCGGCGTGCTGGTGTATACTCGCAACGTGCTGCAGTGATTGCAGCAGGGCGGCGGAGTGTTCCTGTGCTTTACGACGCAACTCGGCCACGCTCGATGAACGCTGCGCATCAGTCGGCGGTGAGGTAGGTGCATCACTTGTATTCGAAGTATCATGCTGTGAATGATTGTGGTTATGTTGTTGCTGGTGGTAGAACAGACTGTTGATCGGTTTCATTGGACAGCATGAGCAGAAACTTGGAAAACCTAACACGAATATTAATAAAACCATTTCTTTTCAGTATTATATTGTGTAAAATACCTTTGAGCGACGGAAATAATGGTGATGAGAACTGTGACCCCACATGTGCAGCTAAATTTGGTGGAAAGAACAGAGCTGATGGTGGTAATGGCGATTTTCGATTAATATTACTTTCGTTGATACTAGTTGTGCTCGGATCCAATATTGGACGAAATCCAACACTATTAAAACAGGATATTATTCACCATGATGAATAATGCACTTTATACACGTTTTAAACATACCTGTCACGTCCAAACGGAAATATATGTGATAAATTCGTTGACGGTGACTTGATTGCAGTCTGGTTACTGCCTGAAACTACCGGTTCACTGACAATCGACGATGGGGGAGTAGGACTGCCACCGCCACTGATGTCTTCGTTATCCGCATCAGTTCGCGGTTTCTTTTCGGCGACTGATGAGGGTGTTTCTGTATCACTACTGCAACTATTTGACGGCGACCCGATATTGATTTCTTCGCACTAGATTTTAAAGTTTACAAATTTAGTACAAAAAAATTAATAATTATAAATTAATTATCACCTCGTCTTTGGACATATTATCAGTGGTGTCTTCTTCATCGCGTTTTATTTCGGTTTGACCCGGCGTGCTGTCATCACCACCGCCGTCGCATCGTTTACGTTGTTCTTCTTTATGGCGCTCGGCTTTTCGCCATTTTGCGCGGCGATTTTGAAACCACACCTTTGAGGAATGAGTGAGTAATGATTTGATTTTGATTTTCTAAGTGGTGGTAGTTTTATACCTGCACTCGTGCTTCGGTGAGGTTGATTTTCATTGCTAGATCTTCTCGAGTGAATACGTCGGGGTAGTGGGTTTGGGCAAACGCGGTTTCTAATTCTTCAAGCTGTAATATTCGATAAAAATGAGTCGTTTAATAAATTTTGTTAAATATTCTATGAGAAATTGGTTATAACAGGTTGGAAGTAATGAAAAATTACCCAGAAAGTTTAATTTTACTAATTTTAAAGACCATTTGGGATAATTTCTTTGAAGTTTGTGCTCAATTCTTGCATATATCAAAAATTAACTTAAAAACACTAATTTTACAATTGATTACAGTGTGTTTTAATTAAATTTCTTGAAAATCTGAACAAATCGGGAAATTTTTTTAATTTTTTTGTGATAAATCAATAAATTTTTATTATAAAACAGTTTTCACTTGCCTGTTGAAGACTAAACGTAGTCCGATTACGCCTCTGTTTCCGTCGGACGAAAGTATCATCATGAATCCCCGTATGATACGAATATGTTGGATCTAAACAGTTCGAATGTAGTTGTATCAATAAATTTCACCCATTTAAATGTAACTTACAAGGATGTGAAGTCCCAAACGGATAATCTATTTGATGTGGTGGCATACGAGCAGCGGCGGCGGCAGCGACGGCCGCCGCCGTCCCTCCTAGATGATGATGCGTCCCGGCTGAACGCGGCGAGGTCGATGATAGCGACGGCGGGCAGTGATAACAAAACATGCTGCGAGCGACTTCGCCACTGTCGACTCCAGCAAGCTACAAATAAAAAAGAAATCTTAATGATAAAATTCATCAATGTGTGTTTTTGTTTGTTTGTTTTTCCATTATTGAAAATTGAATGCGAGTAGATTTGATGAGTGTTCAATGAGTGCTCAATGACTTTCAACAACTCTATTATTCAAAAGCTCGTCCATTAATTGGATGCCATTCAATTCGGGATCATTATGTATTATGTCTTTTGTTTTCTTTGTGGCTTTATTGCGATTTCAAGCACGTCGCAAAGGGTGGGCTCCAGTTGAGAGGGCAAACTGGCACCCCCTACGCGCGTTAAATCATTGTTATTCGCAAACAATCATCAATGATGTTGCGTAGGGTATTATGCAAATGTGTAACAATAAAATTTACCTTTCGCACGTCCCCGAAAATTGTGACGTTGTATGATAAACCACACGCGGAAACAAAATTTTAATTGTCACGCACTGCACTGGGTTGTTGGTTAATTTGTCGGTTGGTTTGATTGCACTGATTGTTTTATCACTGCGCGCTAAACGTGTCCGTTCCGCAGCGGGTGCTCGCGAACGAGTTGTCGCGACACACGTGGCAGGCCACCGCCGGTCGTTTTCCGGGGGATGCTGCTGGTGCTGCACGGCCGGCGTTCGGCGTCGACGCGCGGCGCCCGGACTTTATTGTCATCGAGTAATCCACTTACTGCGCGCTTACTCGCTTATGCCAATGATACAATCATGCCGCGATTGTCGTGCTCTCGGCCCCGCTACCGCCGCTCCCCACTCCGGGGAATTGCGTGCCGCCCGCCGAAAGGTGGAGACAAGCCGGAAAAAAGGCGGCGCGGTCGGCACGACCGCCAATGGCGCGCGCCGCGCCCCTTGGTCCTGCCGCCGCGATTATGGCCAACTCACCGGAAACATTTAAATGAACGCCGATACTGAAAAGCGCGCAAGCCAATATACTCGCAAAACGCCCGTAATGCAATCGCGACAATTAATCGCGCCGTCGAATAGTGGATTTGCTTTAAATTCGCTTTAAATTAATCTCGGCTGCAGGTGGATCCAGCACAATTACCAACCTAACCTCGATCTGCATTATTGATACATGCGAAATGACGTTGACCGCACCAAAAAAGCGCATAAAATATTTATGAATCATCCCCGGCGCGTCGAATATAAATTTACGCCGAGTGCGCGATCCATCTCTGGAGCAGCGCGAGTTTACGTAAAAATCATTCGAGAGCAATGTTTAAATTTGCATGCGCAATGTGGAAAATAAGGCACTAACGGCGAGCAAAGTCTGATAGATGTACATGATTTGCATCCCCGACGATGAACGCGTATTGAAAAATAGCCGCGGGACACAAAAATATTGAACGAATTTGACATTGGGGATTGAAATATCTTCAAAGCACGAGCGTACGCGATGGAGGGGCGTTGCTCACCCTTTTTGCTTGCTACTGCCACCGCCACCCACCCTTATAATATCTGTATGTGTGTGAGTAGAGAAGTGTTGCGAACAGTTTATATTGCGGTTGGTGGCGTCTGCGCACATTACAATTGTGATACTTAATGAAACAACGCAATGATGATTGCGATGCAAATCTACTAATTGCATATTTGCGCACCAGCCGCAAATGAAATGGAAGCGCGAGTCGGGAGATTGTGAAAGACACCTGAGGCTTGCAGAAGTCGACGAGGAAATAAATTCTAAACTTTTCGCATAGATTTAAACTAGTAATAAGTGATTATTACACTTGAAGCGGGCATTTCTTTGTTTGACATGTTTATTACAGGTGGATAAGTGCGAAAGTTTTAAGAAATAAGTAACGGTTGCGTTGAATAATCAAGATTTTAATTAGAATTCATGAGAGGAAAGTTTTTTGGAAAATTTATCACAAAATTTGTTGGCAGGAGAAAATGTATGCGATTGTTGTAGTTTTTAGTGGATTAACTAAAAACTATTTGGATTATAGGTGTGGTTCTTTTGCTCATTAATTTTAAATTAAATTATTTATCTAAATTTAAAAAGATTTTGATTTTTGAATTATTATTTCAAAAGTTATTAACCATTGAAGTTGAAATTTGTAAAAAATTAAATTTTGTTTCATAACTTTTTACGTAATTATTTAATGACTAAAATATTTTTTAGTTAAATATAAAATTAATTACCCTAGAGAGTCCTGAAGGAATAATTAAGATTTATTTATTAGTTTATGAGTTATTAATTAAAAACTAAATATTTTTTCTCAAATTTTCATAAAAATAACTTTATTACTTAAAAAATGAATTAGTCGATTTAAAAATATGAAAATATTTAATTTATGTTAAATAATATGATAAATAATACAAATGTAAAACGTAGAAAAGCTTTTAAAGAAATGAGACCATCACCATCACCGCTGCTAAAGCGGCTGGTTTATTAATTCTTAATTAAGTATGCCACCAAAATTGAAAAAATGAAATAAGCAGACAGTTTGGCGAGCATGCTGTTGTTATTATGAACATTTTTGAAAGAAAAGCAGGGCCAGCGGAAAGAGGCTCCCGCTCTCCAATGGAGATTCATAATTTTTTAACCGAATCCTGTTCATCTCCTTTTTGCGTTTCTCGTTTACATGATTCCTTTCATTTATTAATGCGTTTTCATTTGCGAAGCGTCGGTTTCGTTCGTTCGTGCCGGTATTTGGCGGGTGCGTAATGAATTTTTTAATTTGCGGCCTATCCTTTTAATTTTTGTTGGCTGTATTTTTTAATTGCAAATTTTTCGTAAATATCTCTCTTTACTTTTTCTTGTGTTTTAATGAATCTAATACGATTAGCATCGTTTGATGTAGTAGATGCTTTCGGAAATATCCGAAAGTTTCGGCATCGAGAAACATAATTTAGCAATTAATTTTCTCATTTGCATTCGCCGGCGTTACATCGGCTCCGATGCTAATTCGAGAAATGGCAGAACGAAAGTAACGTACACAAATTATACCACTGATGGCATTACGCATACTAATATCGTGAAACGCACCCCGTGCTTTGCTGATTTAATATGCATGGAGGCGGCGGTGATGGCGGCGGCCATAACGCGCATATTGCAAACGAAATTATGATCCAACGACGGCGGCTGTGGCGGCGGCGGCGGGGTGATCGTCATTGCTTCAATTCCCTCGCTCTCTCCGTTCGTCGCCGTCGGCGAGGCTGCTAAGAATCATGGCATTATGGTAGCACCCGAACGACGGGTAACAAAATAATGTTGTTATGTAGATCCGTGTGTACTATTCTCACACCGACTGTTTCGAATATCTCTTTATGCTTTCATTACGCGCATATTTTACGATTCATTTTGAATGAGATATGGGACATTTCAGCGTGTATAAAGCCTCATTTTAATTATATTTCACATCAGACATTTACCACGCTCGTATTTCTTTTTAAAATCAATTTTTTATAAATTAATTTTATAAATCAAGAAAAAAATATTATTACCACTAGCAATATTTTATATAATTAGCGAAGAAGTTCATATTTGCAGAGTTATCTGTTATCTGGCGGTGGCACAAAGTTTGGAAGCTACTTCTGATCAGCTTCTTTCGGCACACACCTAACGAGATTACGCAATTTGGTGCATTTTGTGCGCGAAAACTTTGTTTAGTAGCGCCCGACGCCAAAACTAGTCGATGATGGGCAAAGCCACGTAAATTAAATTTATCTTTCCAGTTCGTTACTTTGTTACTTTCTTCGGCGCTTCGCTCTTCCGCTCTGGTCGCCGTTTCGAGATCACGTTTCGCCAATGTGGTAATCAACTTTATTACTGCCACTTTCGGCGTAATTTGGAAAATGCGAAAAACTTAATTATCCCTCGAAATGTAACACTTAGATGAACAAAATAATTTCACATAAAAAAAAATTAAATAATATATTAATGTACTTATATCTAGAGAAAAGTTGTAAAATATAAAACGTAGAAGTCTTGCTCGCTTTGCGATGCAAATTGATATTAACGATTGCGTAAACTTGGTTTACAACGCTTCGTGTGCGCGTATAAAGTGCGAGCGCGTTCAAGTGATATCACTTTAATTCACTTTGCTACACCTGGGGACCTTCCATAAAATTACGTACACCTTATAAGCAAATTCAAATCTTCATTCGTTATCGTTAAGCATCGGCGTTTGCCACCGCCTGGCATTTTCTTCGCCGCGCGCAAACTCAATTACAAACTCATGTAACTTTACACCCGCAAAAAAATATGAACGATGAAATTCTATACTTTCAGCGTAATTATTAGATTTATAGCGAAATTATTTATACAAATGATGATCTTTGATGTAGTGCATAATTCGATTATGTTATCTATCCAATTGCGACAGCATAACAACACTAATTTCAACCGGCGAAAATTGTCGATCTAGGGTGAGATGCTTAGACCCTTAGTGTGATGGTGTGGTGTGGTGGCGACAGGACTAAGTGAGCATATGCAAGATTTAGTTTTCCGAGGGCTGCAATTCCGCGCGCGCGCACCAACACCCAGGGGAGCACAGATTAAGCAGCAATCCCTTCGTAGGGGCACTTATCGACATGTGGTCATGTCCCTACCTCGCGCTTAAAGTATGTTAACATGCCCAAATTGCTAATTTCGATAATTATTCAATTTGCACGTATTTTTCATAATTATAGCTTAAAAATTGTTTTATATTTGGCTGCAACAAATTGTATTTGGAAATTAGACGCAGTTGAAAGCATATTAATATCACGATGCAGGTTTCTTATTAAATATGAATATGAAACAAGCATGATGGCGGCAAACGCGTATTACAACTGCAACCCCTCCGAATTTCAAGGGGCGGTCGTAGAATTGTTTCTATATCGGCACCCTTCCACATTATCGTGCCGGGGGCGGCAAGCAGTATCAATAAACATGCGCATGTAGATGTAGAGAATATTGCATCACGTGTAGTGAAATTTGCAAAGTGTGTAGCAGATATGCAACAGATATACTGTATGTTTACATAAAAATCACAAAAATTGTCCAAATTTATCAAAATTATTGTTTATAGTCACATTTTTTTAATGTAGAATATTATTTATCAAATTTTGAACATTTAATATAAAATTTGAAATTATAGAAAGAGTGTTAATGTTATCGGGAACATGCAGTGATAAATTTGCATCATAATTATTAAATAGTCTTTGACATAAACGCGAACATGCAAATTCGCAAATGAGCGCCGCGTTATTGCTTGCTATCGCAGCGCCCGCGCGCGCGGGTGCTAATTGGCAGTACAAAGGACGTGATAAATTGCCACAAAGCCATTTGAAAATTGCGCCTCGCGCAGCTAAATGCGGCTTCGGCGTTAAGCAATTACTTTTACAATGTTACCCGCATATTAATTGCTATGAATAATACGACAACTCAAAATAATAACCGTTTCAACATATCCGCGAATCCTGTTAGTCCCAAAACCGAAATTCAACCATTCACTTAAACGCAAAATATTTTATTCCATTATTTCACATATTGGTAGGTAAGTGTTTTCGATAGTTGGATGTTAATGCAGTTGGAATCTACAATATCTAATTTCTAATTGAAATCGAATTAAATTATGTGCGCGTGTGTGAATGTTGAATAATACCTAGAGAATGAATGTAAATGGCGTTTGGGAATTGCAGAAATGTTCAACGTTGAGGTTCGCACCGTGCCCTTCGAATGCCTCAAGTTTTGCACCCT